TATATATATATATATATATATATATGCAGAAAATTATTTGTATGCGATTAATTTGGAATAATAATAATGGTCTGAATGATAATGTAGGACTTTGAGCGATTGTATGAATGCGAAGTGAAGGATGATGAAAAATCGTTGCAAAATGATAGTTTGACGATCGTTTTCGATACTTGCGTGCTAATTAGCTCACCGCGTATTATTTTCAAATGCATTAAAGGTTCGTCATCTTCATTTTATTTTTTCACGTGTTTGTTATTATTACTTATGCTTATATAAACTTCTCTAGATTATATATATGCTTCACACTTTAATCGTGAATGTTCTTATGATCACTTAGAGCTTTGTTTATTTCAGCGTCCCACTATGTGGTCATTCCATATAAAGTTATCGAAGAATTGGATCATCTCAAGAAACTGGTTCGTTTACGAGCAATCTCTATTCGGAATAGGAAAGGTCGTAGCGTTGCTTGCTTGTAAGTAAGTTCAGAAATAGTCGTTATGATCTATAATGAAGGTTATTTGCAGGATGATGATTCAAAGCAGTCAAGTGCTGCTGCGGCGAATGCGCATTTATATGATCTAATGAAGATGAACAATAATTTCGTCATATTTGAATCGTCATTTGAGGTGGGAATTACATTCATTCATTATACGTCATTTGAGGTTGTGAATTACGTGTAATGAATGCATATGTTGACTGGATATATTCAGAAGGTTTTGAATCAGTTGGTTCTTCTTGATTTGGATTAATTCTTTTTGTAATTGTTGAATGAATGTTCATTTGTGAGTTGCAACAGATGTACAGCGAAGAAACCATTCTTTTTGTAGTCATCAGAACGAGTCGATGGTTTTAGTTGTCACAACAGCGACGATTATATTTTGAAATGTGCTCTGCAGTACTCAATGAAATGCAAGTTTTGTTTTATTTGTTCACGTATGCTCCAGAAATTTGTACCAATTTAATTTGCAATCATTTAAAGATGGCTCTATTGCGAAAGTAGTGTTAGCAACCGAAGACAAGAACTTATCAATCAAAGCAGCTGCAAACCATATTGTTGCATTAACAACACAGGTACTGTTCATTCAGTCACTGTGAATAGAAAAGAACAAATATTTGTTCAACTCCTCAAAGTTACCATCGAATTTTGTTTCTTGAATATTTACTACATTAATTAATATGCATACATCAGTTTTATAGCAGTTAACTGATATAATTGAACCCGATCAAAATGACAATAATGAAACGCTATCAGATTTCGAAGAACAACAACAAACTGATGCTGCCGAAATAGATCTCAATGGAGATCATTCGTGTGCTGATCAATTAAATACGCCTCATCAAAGTGAAATCGCTACTGACTTTGAAGAAGTTCGTTGTTGTTTCCGTGAAGGATTTACACTTTTGCTTTTTCAAAAATGTATAGCGAAACATAGAATTCTGGTATTGAAATGAATTTGACTATTCCTTTTCAGATGAGAGAATCTACAGCGAACGAATCGTTAAGTGCGCTGGAATCGTTCAGTTTCGTTTTCGATCGTTCACCATCAACATCGACAGCATTGAAAGTTTGTTCATTTGTTTCTTATTTCGTCATCAAAATCTAAATCCCGACTGGTTCTAAGCAACTGATAACAAACCAATTGGTTATTGGTAAAGGTTTACTAATAGGATTAACCACATAATAAGTAAGTTTAGGTATTGGATGATGCAGCCAAAACAGCTCCGAGCGTTTTCGATTGGAGGAGGAGACGATGTGATGATAAACCGAAAATGAGCGAAGAACCGAAAATGAGTGAAGAAATGCGCGAATTGTTGGACTGTTGTGAGCATGTTGTGCAAATGATAATGACGCAGCGAACAAGGATAATAAGTAAGGATAACAGTTGCTTCCAAACGAACAATGACCGATCTTCGATACACCAACAGAACGTTCGAATGCTTCTCGATTCAATTCATGCGTACGTTTCATGCATAAATTCTTGCTTCTATTCATCTGCCCTCTCAATTCTAATTTGTTTTCATTAAAGTGTTCAAGCACATCGAATTGGGTCTGTGCGGCGATTGTTGGACCAAATTGAACATTTGGCACCTTTATACTTGGACAAACAGGTCGTTGTTTCATTATGCATATTACCTGGCTATTTCACATCATGAAACAGCAGAGGCGTGATTCAACCCATTTTCAGATTTCTTTCAATAAAAGTGACGTCGAAAAGGAATATCCGTTGGTGTGGCGACAAGTGAATAGACGTTTAACTCGTCTTAAAACTTGCTTGTCAAGGTATTGAATCATTATGCACTCAATTCCTTGAATGCCCTATCAGCCAGCGTTCGTAGTGATACATTGATGGTGATGCCGAAAAGATTTGACTTTTTTTATCTACCTTTGTGTAGTAGGTGCTTATACAGCGCTTATTCTGTTCATACGTGTGTTGTCTCAAAATAGACGGGTCGATGTATGTGTTGAAAACACAACCAAGATAAATGAAGTATTCATTGAATGAATCTTTATTCTTTCAGTGGAATACTTTAATAATCCACTGACCAAACTTCACTGTTCCACTTCGATCGAATTATTTTACGTTCATACTTCTTGATCATATCTTCAGCGAATTCAACATATTCTTTCTCGCATTCACCTCTTGTCTTTCCTAAAACTTGCTGTGATTGATTTGTGATTATCATCTCCACTGTCATTTGATATTTTAGTCATTGTTCGTGAAAATCAAGTTGATTTATTTATTCTCACTTAAAAGTTTCATCATCAAGTTGTCTTACCAACATTCGCACACCAAGCGTTGTATTTGAGTACCGCCCATTCGTTGTTATCACCAATCGGCCTAGCTGTAACAAAATGCAAGGTTTTATTTGTTCTCGTAATATTTGTTTATAAAAGAATACATGAAATTCAGATTAATATATCGACTAAATAAAGCTTTTTGAAGAGATTTGTATGCTTACTTCTTCATTAAAACTTACGATAATCATCTGTTGATGGGATATTGCCGTGAATTGCTTGCTTATATAGTCCATATAAAAGCAATTTCTCAGAATCCGTTGGCTCCTTTGCTAGCCTTCTCATTTCTTCAGCAGCTATATTGAAATCCATCCCGTAGCACTTCTAGTAAATCAGATGAATGTGATTTCTTTTAAAGAACATAAATGAACTGAATAGAAAAAAAAGAAAGAAACCTTAGCAAGTTCACTGAGCGGCATCGTGTACTTCAGCCAGACGTTACTGTGCAGATTAGTCACTGTCGTTAGTTTTGAAGAAAACTTGAATATATATATTTGGAAGATGTATAAATGAGAGTTAATTACAAATATAATCGTCACTGAACGGTGCCAATAACAAACGACGGCAGTAGCACAATCAAATATATAGTGTGTGGCATAGATAATTTTGTTGATGAATAACGGATTTATTGTTGCGCAATATCAAATAATCAAGCATATTTTTGATTTTAATCTTAGAAAGCAACAACACTGAGTACATATCGGTGTGCGTAGAGTTTGAATCAAGAAACGAATAAGAATCATTGTGTTCATAAAAAATGAATCAATTATCAGTTGTAGTTGTGCAAAAGAATGAATCGAACTGAAACAAGCAAACACTTGAAATCGCGTAAAGAAAGATGATGACAAGTGGCGATAATGACAGACACAACAGATCATTGCTTTGTGCATAACCAACAACAATTACAATCACATATTCACATTAACCAACGATTCACTGTAAGCAGCATTCGTTTCAGCTGCCAATTCGAAACTTGCAGATGAGAGTTTTGAATACGAAGATAAAAAATCGCTTTCTTCGGCATTCAATTCAGCACCCATCTTGAGAAGTGCATAAAATATCTCTGCTTTCCGCGCATTGAATATTTCCTCAGAAATTTTCCGTAAATGTAAGTCGGTTTCCGCCTGAAATGTGAAGAGGTATGAACTTCAAGAGAACATTGTTGCTGTCTTGGGTCTAAGACATTTTGGTGTCCAGATAGTTTCTTCTCGTATTTTGCAATGGGGGTTTGGATTGTTGTTTGGATACTGAGCGATTGGTTTGCCAATCGTTCTATGCGATCAGCAAAATATTAGTCATTGTTACGATTGTTTAATGGCCTGATATTCGGCTGCATTTAATTATGCAAACTATTTATGGCAACGGGCATTCGTTATTGCGTAGTTGTGGCATTTTGATACGCCGATCGCTATGGATCTAATCGGTTACATTGATTGTACCGAAAGATTACTGATTCACTACTGTTGGTTGTTCCAAACAGCTACTCTGAATGATCGTTCGACGAATATTCAATCGATCAATCGGAATATACTTTCGGGCTCCTTTTGAGTCCCTCACCCTAGAAGTCATTGGGCAACATGAGAGAGTAGCCCAAAAACTCTGGGCTTGCCAAGTCAATAATCCAGGCCAGAATTTCATGAAGACAGATGATCCCCAACGCCATTATCGTTAGCTGCGCGGAAAGGAGAATGCCAAGGAATGAAGAATGTGATATTAGTGATAACAGAGAGGCATAAGTTCGTAGTGAGTTGGATTTGCTGATTAAATAAATTTTGCAACAATCGACGACCAAAGAATTACTCCGAAACAAATTCCACAGGTCTGTTCACAGTTCAGCAGTCGAAGATCCAAGAGCATATAAGTTTCAAAAAGTGGAGATAAAACAGGACGACACATCAGAACGGCATAACGAACCTGAATTAATTTTTGTCTCAATAATGCCGGTTGCTTTTTGGCAAAAATAGCAACTATTTCAGGAGTTTTGAACGCCTCACTTATCGCTGCTCGGATAGCCTGAATATGGTAAACTGATCGCTTTGCATGAATGAATATTGTCAGTTGAGATGGTAGAATGACTTTGAGCTGATTCAAAAACAAATTAAATTGGTCAGCGACAGATGAAATTATTGTATGTTTGAAATGAAATTAATGAAGCATTGATTATAAAGGATTCACAGTTCTAGTTGAAGTTAACTGATCAATCAATGTAACATCACCACACTGCATGCGATCGAGTGTTGCGCCCAAATCCTGACAGTATCACTTGATATGAATTTACTTCATTCATCTAATAATGCCAACATTCATTAATAAAATTCGTTTGTACAGAAAATTGAACGTATTCACAGTTGGCTGAAACAACAATGAATTCTCAACGATAACTCACTCTTAATTGTTCCATAGTACCATTTTTCATTTCGATATATTCTTCAGCCTCTAACGTTTCTCTACAATGCATTTCTCATTTTACTGGATTCGCAGAAACACTACGTTTTCAAGTTCTTTTTTCAACTTATCATGATCACTAAAAGTGCACTGATATTAGTCTGTATCATAGCAGAAACAAGTCACAATAGTACGATATCAGACTGAAAGTGCATCTACGATTTACGAGAAAAGGACCAATGTGAGTAACTAACTTCTCTTGTTCGATATCAGCGAGTTGTGTCATAAGTCTATTTAGCTGATCTTGAATATTTGTGATCAGTTTCAAATCATTTTCGTCACTCATAATTGTATACCTAAAACACATTAGATTCATGTTGACTGATTGGCTTTAATCCATTCAATACGAAAAGAACATTGCGCACTTCCGATCAATTTTACCTCAACAATTTCATAGGCAGTCATGTTTTATTACACTATCTTATGAGTAAGAAACGTTTATAAAATTGTACGTTCGAAACAACCAAAAGCATGAGATCGATTCATGGATGTTCTTTCTGAAAGAATCTGTTTCACTTCGGCTTTGTTCTTATGATAAGCCATGGCAATCAAATGAACGTAAATCAATTAATCGGATCATTACTGGAGCGTAAATAAGAGTTTTACGAAGTGATATTTGTTATGTTGATGAATGCGCAATGAAGGTATTACAAATGAAGAGCGCGTTAAATACGCGAAAAGTGTGTATAAGAGCAAACAAATGCAAGCTTTATTTACTGAACATATTTATGTACAATTTGGATCATGAACAAAAATGTTCATTTGAATGAGGCGTCGATGTGCTTGGTGTTTCGATGTTCGATGAATGATTCCTCTTCAGCAGTGATTTCAGTTCGTAACGCACCGATGGATTGCACATTGCGTATATTAAAATTCTTATTGCACTTGTGAACATGTAACAAAAACTCACCGTATCCGAAAACGCTGAAAAAGTGATACATTTTGTGGCATTCGACACACGTACACTTGCAAACAATTAACTCATTTAGATTTCCTATGATATTGTCAATAATCCAAATACAAATCATGTCGGATCAATGAGTTCATTGGATTTTTCATGTAATTTCTTTAATATTAATGATGCGCGCTCAATGCCAGATTGGTTCGGCACTGGAATTATCACTTTTTAGAAATCCCAACACTTTCTTCCCTTTTGATTCGCTTCTTTGCTAATATTATTATCACTATTTTACTTGTCGTTTTTTTTCTCACATTTCCAATTTATCGTTGTCGCGTTATGCCCCAAATTTAGTGATGAGATATAAACAAGACCGACAAGATCTCATCTGGTGCTCGTCATCAACAGAATGCGCCTCAACAAATGCCATTTCATCGCGTTTGCGACAACTTTATGCATACAAAACTTCACAGCATTCAAAACTCCAAAATTTTTATCGACCAGTTAACGTTTCTAGCTAAACTGCATTCAATAAAAATCTTTTCTCTGTACTATCAAACACAAGATAATTTTTGTTTCCCCCATAAAAAAAGTCCCAATCTGAAAATCAAACGCATAATCAGTAGTTTTTTTTGTGACATGCACTCATTGATTGCATTCAATTTTACGAAACGCAAACCTCCTAATTGTTACTTTTTCGTGAATAATTCAACAACTTCAACTACTAATGCTTGACGACGCAGATTTAGATTATAGTTTCAAATATGTTTAACACAACATAATTATTACTTAAAATAGCTGAACATCTCATACGAAAGCATTCATTTTATCAAACGATAGAAACTATTCAAGAAATCTCGATGAAAAGCTTCTCCATCGAACATAAAATGCTACCGAACATTCGCAGCCAAACAAAAACAAAAAACAGTTTGAATGAATCAATTAAAAACTTCCCTAATAAAATGATCATTTTATGAAAATTCCCAAAAAAATGCATGAATGAAAGGTAAAGAAGCGGCATCATTCCCTTACCAATATAAAAATTCGAGCTTAAATATGCATCTAAGTCATCGACCAAAATTTTTGCACCGCTTCTTTCGAGCGTCGTTAACAGCAAGTGAAGACTGTTTGAGATCAGATACGTGAAAACGATCGTAACCATTGTATAAACTGCATACCGCAACTGTTTCTTCTTGTCATTCAGACGCCTTAATTTCATCGATACCATTAAAAACGAACCTCAACTGCACAAAACTGCCATGGCAGCACCCTAACTTAAAATTCGTTTCAAATAGCATCAAATACAATCATAGGTTTATTGTTTGTATAAAGAACGACAGGTATAATCATTGTTCATTGCTTCAACATCAATCCTACAATAACCACATCTCTCTCTCTCTCTCAAAATACATAAACGCCTCATGAAGGTGAGTCGAGTGGATACGAATATTAAAACTGAATGTTTAAAAACATTTTCGGTATGAAACTTTTTGAACTCCGAGAATAATTTCCCATTTTTCCAACTAAGGAAATGGATAAATGCTTCTGAATGGGAAAATAATACTTGGAATATACTGAAAATGTGAAATAGCGTTGAGATACAAATTTTTTGAACAATGATGATAAATAATAATAATAATAATAATAATAATAACAATAATAGTAATAATAATAATAATAAATAATACATAATAATAAAAAAATTAATTAATAATAATAATTAATTAAAATAATAATGATACTAACAACAATATAACAATAATAATAATAATAAATAATAATGTCACCCTGAGTGACTTAAGTGATGCATAGAAGTGAATTCGCGGAACGTTTCGATGCAATGCGTCAATTTCAGCCGCATTCATAGAGCACATTGAAGCTAACGCATAGCGTCGAAACATTCTGCAAAATCACTTTTCTATACATTCGTTCGGTCACTCAAGGTACCATTATTATTATTTATTTTGTTATTATTAATTATTATATTATTGTTTATTAACCATTAATATTCATTATTATTACTAATACTGTTACTGTTATTACTATTATTATATTGTTATTATCATCATTATATTGTTATTATTTTTATTGTTATTATTATTACTGTTATTATTATTGTTATCATTATAATCATAACTATTCTTATTCTTATTGTTACGAATATACTGAAGCAGTAAAAAAGAAAGAGAACCTTGTTCCTCGAACAGATTCTTGGATGACTTGTGTGGTTAGTTCGATGGGAAGAATATTCTCGCAAAGTGTTAACGAATGTGCATTTGTTACATCGTTTTGCGTTTTGTTATTGCGGGTGTTTGTAGAGAAACGAGATAGCCTCAATGCTGCACATATCTGTGGATGAGATGTTTCTTAGATGCTGAGTGCTTGAGTTGAATCATTTCAAATTCGTAGATTGCATTCACTTCTTCAATGCAACATCTGATAATTACAACCAAAGAATCTACAACCGTTCGATAAGTATCGGACGGCTGTAGATAATTTCACTTAACCTCATCATTACTGAATCAATAAATGAATCTGAACTTAGCAAGGTAAATAAACATCGGATTCCGACTACAAACAATTAACTTGTTGAGTGATTCTCAATGAGAATGCATTATGAGAACGATGAATACGAAAAGGAGGGACATATATTAAAGGTATAACACACTAACTCCCTTACCTGTTGTTTTTTAGCACGTAAAAGACGATAAATAATGAATGAATTCAATGTCAATAAGATAATGAAAGGAAGTAACGTTTGTGTGAATGAGATGATGTGAAAATCGAATATGTAATATACATGACTCTCGGATGCCCAACGAGTTGGTGAAACAGACATACTTCGGAAAAAATCCGAACAATTCGGAAAGGATTTCACCTTAACGAACGACGGCCACCATCATTATCTGGTGTCATTTTTTGCACTTCGTTCAAGAGCGGTATTCATTTCGAAAGAATCAAATTAAAAAAACCTCCAAATTAAAACGCGTATTGATATGGCAACAAAAAAAATTGCGTGAATTTGCAGTGAACTTAACTATTCTCATCAATATTTCAGCACATCGTTGTTGAACCTAAAACTAGCAAAGCAAATGAGCGCATCAAATGATCAGTGAAACAGAGAAATTCACCGACCTCTATCGCATACACGATCGGTACCCGTAGCAGAATGCTTACTGATATGATGATTAGCACCCATATCAACTGCCCACTTCGAGTGCACAACTTCGCTAAACGATGTCTGCAGAATGATTAACTGCGCTGTGCGAACCATTTCAACTATTAAATTGTATATCTCTCTTTTTCGTCTTATCAAAAGTTAATTAACTCACTAAACCAAAAACAAAATCCACGAATCACTCTCACCACTGCTAATTCAACTTTTCATACACAATATTAGAAGCTTTTTATGAAAAAAGAAGCACAGTTCTTTAGTGAATAACCAATAGTGTTCGACTCAATTCGAGTTAGTTTTATGCGCTGAAGTTGTGATAGTATCTTCATGTCAGTCGGAATTCAGAGGTTTATCATGGAATCCTGGCCGTTCCACATTCATAAGGCCAAATGAATATCCATATTCATTTGGCCTTATGAATATGGAACGGCTAGGATTCCATGGTAGACCTCTGAAGGCATCCAACACTATTATCCCTTTGCATTAACAGGTTTATTACAGTCTATTCCTCCGTGAACGGACAATCTGCCTAAAGACATTTTGCCTAACGGACAGTTTTGTAATGGATATTTTACCTAATAGGCAAGCTGTCCGTTAGGCAATGTGTCTTTATGCAAACTGTCCTTAGGCAAAACGTCTTTAGGCAGATTGTTTGGTTACCAGTACATAAAGCAAACTGAACTGAAGCGTGAACGGTCATTACATCTTACGACCCTTTCGCCTAATGAACATTTCGCCTAGTGGACACTTCGTCTAACGACATTTGGCCCTATGAATATGGAATGGCTAGGATTCCATGGTAGATCTCTGACGGCACCCAAGAATATTATTCTTTTGCATTAACAAGTTCTTCGAGTCCTTGAACTCTACTTCGGCGGAAGGAAGTAATTTCCAAACAGTCTGCACCAAAAACAGGAGGCGTGGCTTTACCGTATGTAAATCATTGTCGTGAGATACGAATATTTGAGGCCCTCTGCTATTATGCAAATCTCCAGCAGACCGTAATGTTTCAGAAAGGGAACTCCCCTTCACGGTTAGTCACAGTGTTACCAGAGGTTCGGCTGCGGACCAGAGGTAAACCTCAGCTTAAGCCTAAGCACCAACCTCACAAGGAAAGGTCACAAACTTTTAGGGCCAGTTATATATAATTCAAAGTCAAGAAAATCATATAAAAAATCCTTGCCCAACAAAGCCAAGAAAATCACCGATGTTCAGGGTACAAATATTCTACCAATAGATTACGAAATTAACAACTCCGAGAAGCTCCAAAAGTAGGGTGAAAAGATTCGGACAACTCTTGAATATTTAGAGCTAATACTTTCCAACACGCATTAGGCGAAATATCCATTAGGCGAAATGTCGGTAAACGAAATGACCGGTTATTTGGTCTAGCAAAATGCATAAGTCAAATTATAGCACCAATAGGGATGCATGCCTGCATGAATGAGTGTTCGCTTTTTGTTGCGTCGCTTGATTTTGCATACATAAAGACGGCAATTCGAAGAGAGATGAATTAATAAACCTCGTCTTTTTGCCAGCCGTCGTCCGAACGAACCGTTCGAAAGTCGCCAGTATTAGCACATACGGCATAGCAAACTGTACAATGCGACTCATAATAAAAACTGGTATCATATAAAAGTGATAAATGATAAATAACGTTCCGATATGTAGATAAACGAATTGCGCATCAACACCGAATAGCAACAAATAAACCATACATAAAAGTGCATCAAGCAACGCAACTACCGCTGCATATAGATTACTGCATTGAGTTCGCGTAAATATTAATAATAATATCTGAAATCAATGGGTTCATTCATTGTCGCATTTTAGTATTCTAAATCAGCATCAACCCTTTTGTGCACCTCGTCTGCTGTTGTTCTAAAGTTGTTGTTGGCGAAAAACGCAAAGAATACATCAGAAACACTCGAACAATGGCAAAACTTACACAGTTCGCGATAATACCAAAAAACGAAATTACAGATGCTGATGATATGATGATGAAACGTATTAAAGTGTAACCTTCGAAAAAACCACACTCTACGACGGAATCCTCGGCATTCACTTGTTCGGCAACAGATACTTCAGATGCCATAACTGCAAATAGTTGAAGTCGAAAAGAACGAACATATTCATTAAGAAGGTACATACGGTTTGGCCAAATGAGGATAATGTAAAAGCATAACTGAGTGGTTCCTATCAAGCATAGCAAATATTCTTGAGACTCATCTATAGAACTCAACTTACACATTCTGAATGCTACATATTAATGTACTATTCATATGCACACATTGACCGCAATGGCCGACCAAATCAAATTAGCGGAGAACTAAAGTATTTGACAATTCATGCTCATATACTAGAGCATATCAACGTCAACAACTGTTTTCTACATTCGAATGCATTTCAAATTCAAGTGCAAACGTTGAATGGAACTTTGCTTTCAGCCATGCGAAACAATCGAAAACATGCCATCAAGCGTTCACCATTCCATTCAGTGAAGGAATGTACGAATTCATTCAACTAACAATTACGATTTATTACGAATTTATACCTATCTGTTATCACCAATATCACAAGAATGCTTTAATATTCTTAAAAGGAATGTGATGTACGGCGGATCACAACAACAAATTCGATAATTTTTGCGAGTGATCTCATATGAAACTAGCCGTTTGATTGAAAACGCTTTCACGAACGCATATCATTGCCACAAATACATTACTTTTTTTCCACATTAGCGATCAGGAGTGACTTTTTTGAATGATGAATGAGGAAGAAATGGAATGCTAATATTTAAATAATTGTTGTTGATGAGTTTAGGTAATTACATAAGGCATAATGGATACTGTACAAAACAACCAAATTTCTTACTTCAACAAACGAATGAATAAATAATTTCTATTAATACTGATGAGTTATTGTATACGGTTAATCTCACAGAATAGTGCCTGCTAACTGCGATGGAGGAATGCAAACGTTATTAGAGCGGCAATTGTGCTGCTGAGCAGTTGAAACGACGCACTGCAGCAGTTAAAAAAATTTGACAGGACGAATTGATTCAGAACAGCGACGAATTCATTTTGAATGCATTACCTACGATGACGATGATTAAGACACACTTACAATTATTATTAAAGTAGTGTTGTAATTCCAGAAATATACATGAACACATCAACAACAAAAAAAGATATCACCACAACTAAAAGCGATCGTTAAAGTATGCGATTATAGAGTCTGAAATGAGAGACTGAGTAGAAAACAATTCTGATGAGAATCGTTTTGATAGCTACTAAGCGAATATGACGTTCTATGTCGTATTTTAGAGTGAACAGAAAGAGTAATTCAAGATTTCGTAATTCCGTTTACAAATCGAGACTTGAATTGAATTAAATTCTGAACTATACACATCTCTTAGAATGCAAATGCAATGCCAATGAAAAATGTCTTAATGAACTTCATTGAACTAACTTGTGGCGTTTTAAAGCAAAGCAAAATTATTCTATTATAGTTGATTTCTCAGCTATATATATTGAACATAGATTCACTGAACGAATTAATTCCATTGAACTTATGCGTTTAAAGCTGTGATACTTTAGAGTGTGAATACTTTCTTTTGGGCATCATCCGCTGAGCAGCTAATGAGAAAGTAAACATCACAGAGAGATATAAACAAAGAGATTATTTGTAATGAGATCAGTTGAGAAAACGAAGAAGCACTTTAAATGCGTATGTAGAAATAAAAAAGTAATTGAATGTATTTCATTAATCACTAAAATGAATCAGTTTCATTATTTCCAATGTGCAACTTAGCATTCAGAATGGAAAACTGAAAATAATAATAGCTACTTATAACTGCAGTCAGCAATCAGGAATATTACGAACCTCTTTGCTGAAGTGTTCACTCGATTTTATCATCAGCATTTCACCATTAAAGAGGAGTCAACGTTGTTTCATTCCTACAAGTACTACGTGAAATGGCGTGTACAATATGTTCACTGAAAGATGAATTATCACTAAACTGATGTCAACATATCAGTGAATATCACAAATGGGAATCAGCGTTGAAATAAGCGAAAATTCTAGAAGCGTGGGACAGTTGGGAAATTTAAAATTTTTATTACTCCATAACTTCAGATTCACAAAAATAGATTTATTCATAACTTCAAATACAAAATAGATTTTACACATTATAAACTGCTCGTTCAATCGACGCACAATATTCAAAACGAAAATGTGAACAGAATTGAATTTGATATAAAATATGCGGAAATAGCAAAAAGATGAATATAATATTACACACCAGTGGTGGTAAATGACCGAAGTTCAGTCGGTAAAATCCGATAAACTTCGAGATTCGGATTCAGACCAAACTGAAATTTCATTCAGATGCCATCACTACTGCACAAATATAACATATACCAGTGGTCCCCACACTCGGGTGCTCCATTACCTCCTTCGATGATTTGACGGGCCGTCATTACCCCCTTCCGTTACAACAATTTACAATTTCCACTCATAACGTCAGATAATTTCCCGATCCCCTCCATTAACCCCCTCATACCCCCAAATTACCCAAAAATGGGTACTCCCTCCCCTCCATGGGAACCCCCGATATTTACCGTACAACCCTGAATATGTACTCCCGAGAGTGTAGCAGTGCAATTTTCTGAACGGCGGGAGAAGAGCAGGAAATTCGAAGGTGGAAACTGAATTGAAATATGATATAGATTTGAGTTTATGCGGTTTTTATTTGGCATTCAGAATATGTAGTTGTTCGTTTCTAATACGTAACTGATATCCGATAAACTTTGTTCACATTCTTTGATCATATTCTTCAAAATCGATTCCAAAATTTGGTGACCGCTCTTAAATTGTCACTTCTCAATGGGCAACGATCAGAGGTATCCGCACGGATGGCAAGTGTGTTACGACGATAAATATCGTCTAAGAATTCGTGACGGGCTTTTGACCACGCATCGCTATGTGACTCCAAGTTATCGCCATTTTTTGATATGTTCTCCTCGATTGAATTGTAATATTTATCTTTGATTAGCCGCAATGATAAGGACATTGCATCTGGAAGAGATTGAATAGTCAAGCAGCACGTTTTCATTTTCAAGAGAATTCGTAGATGCAATCCAAACAAAATATTCTAATTGCTGAGTCAATTTCTTCGTTTCTGAATGTTCAAAATAACTGTCTGATTCAGAGAGAATGAATTCTGAAAAAAGATTGCGCTCCAACCTTCCACAATACTCTGTGTGTATTTGCCGATCATATCTTGATTATCACCGCATCTCGCTACCGCCTTAAATCAGTTCAACTCTCTCATTAATGCCTTACAACATTTTTACACATTCAAGATTTACTATTGCGAAGTTCCATGATGCAAATTTATATTTAGCTGAAGACATAAGCTCTTTGTTCTATTGAGTGAACAGTGAATTCAATCGTGTACACACATATTTCCTTACATACCCTAATAATTCTTCCTCTAATCTTTTCATTCGATCGCCACACCTCGTCAGTATTTTTCGATTTCGAGTTCTTCAGCCATCAATCAGTCAATGGACAATTAATTAATCACGCATTCGATTTCTTTATCGATGATTGTTTTCCGCAACACCAAAAAAGTGATTAATCTTTCCTGTCGACCTAGTAACAACTCACAAGAACGATTCGAACTGGAATAAATGAAACTGAAAACGACTGGATTTCGGGAATGAAGATATGATCAAAAACCTGTTTTAAAACATCGATCCAAAGTTGTTCACTTTCCTTCTTTTCATCAGTCTGGTCAGTTATTGATATACCGCTGTCGACTACGACCGGTGGAATATTCGTATTGATTGACGGAAGGTTAGATGAACTTTCAATTTGCAAATTATCGGTCGTTTGACGGATACCGTTTGCGATCACTGGTGGTGGTAAGTCGGTTGGCGGTTCACTGACAATCAGTTATTAATTCTTGCGTTTCAAAAACGATAACGAAGGGATAATCAACTGATCCGTTACAACAGCAGCCTTTAGTTACTGCTAAGAAAACGAAAATCATTGCATAAGCACTTTCATTCATCATTTTTGAATTAACTCCTTCAGGGAAGAGTGGCAAGAAATTAGAGAATATTGAAAAAGCAATAAGACTGAAGTAAATTGACCAACGTTTTTTCCAATGTTTCAGGCATAACAAATTCTCCGTTATGCGCTTTACCGTATGCAGACGCTATCAATTTTGCCATACCCTCCAAGCCCTTTGCAAATTGATGTGCCTAAATCGACGAAGATAACCTCAGAAAGACAATACAAATGAAAAGTTTACGAAAATAGCACTCATCATCATAATGAAACATCAAAAGTAACACACACACCTTAAAATGAGCAACATTTTGACTGAACGCCTCGCTCAAAAGCTGTTTCGTTAAACGCGTATCACGTCCGGCCACAGTAAACACTTGTCGATCACTACGTGAATTCACAATCAACACGGTTGTATCACAGAAGGTGACATCCTTTTGAATGTTTGTACAGAATCAATTTAATAAACAAACCACCTATTGTTGAATAAATTTAAAATGATAGTGCATCTTTGAGGTAATCAGTGTCAGTTGTGAAGTGTACAAAAAACAAGATTGTAAAGTGCACAAAACGGATAATCAGTCAACGAACTGACGACTATTGATAATCGTTAAATGATAGCCTACTTGATAGTTCTGATAGCGACTTTTCAGATTATTCGCAAATTTCTCGATATCAACCGGAACTATGGGAATGGTACCAATTTTATCGATCACCGCGATCAAAATTTCTAAATTTTTGCCCGGGAACGATTGACACGCCGGTGCTGTGTTATGCACTTGAGAGGTAAGTGTGAGCAGCTGAAAACAGCATTAAACGATAACGATGTGTTGTTTACTTCTCAATCTTTATTTATTAGCTTTTTTATCCAACATACTACTGTTATTATCTCCACACAACACTATGCGACACATAAAAGAGCATATCACTGAATCGATAATCACGTTTCCTTTCGAAATTACAAATAAGAATAATGACAATAAACAAATGCAAATAGAAAGAGTGAAATCATAAAAATTTTCATAAAATAAAATATTTTATCATAAAAATGAAAATTTTAAACCAAAAAGTTTATAGTGTATTTATAATAAAAATTTCTGATAAAATATATCATAAAAATAAAAATTTTCAACCAAAAAAAATTAAAATGTAGTAAAAATCAATTTCACCTGATTGATTTTATTAATAAGATCACCTTTTTCATTTGGCAATAAGATATCACTAGGATCACAGATTAATCCCAGAAAAGGAATATGACAACTGAACGGATCAATTCTTGGGTCTGGATATGTCTGGGACGTATATTGTGCGAGAGCATACTTTAGAAAACACTGCTCTACTGTTATCAACCATACTACTGATATCTTTAACACACGTCCGCTCTTCATTTGTATTTGTCAATATCTCCTTCAATGATGATAATAATAATAATAAATAGTTATTAATAATAAATAATATTGAATAATAATAAATAGTAATTAATAATAAATAATATTAAATAATAATAAATAATAACAATAATAATAATCATAACAATAAATAAAAACAGTGACAATAATAATATAATTAACAATCATCATTTTTATCTGTGGCGTTAAAGAAGTATTAGTCATAAGTGATACGAATTAGAATCATTTCATAACAAATGTTACTAGTGTATGTTTATAAAATTAAGATAAGTGCCACAAAAACATTTATAGATGAAGTAACATTTAAGTATTCATCGAAATGACAGTTTTTATTTCATAATAACATTATTCTGTCGTTTCATTAATAATGCGTCTTTTATGAAGAAATAAAATTTTAGAATTCAGTACGTATTTCTTACCGACTTCAATCATAAAAGTGAAACGCGCAACACACTAAAAGAACGAGATGTGATTACGATGAAGAGTTTGAAATGAATTTATCAGTGAACCGAAACGACATCGGTGACTTAGATCTCTACCGACTTATAGGGACAAATGATATGATAAAAAGTGAATTGAGAAGGAGTTATTGAAAGATAAACGTATTCAGTTCAGACAGGAGAAAGAAAAGTACCTTTGATGAGATGAATAAACACACGTATATGTGTCATGGGTGAGAGTAATAAAATAATAACGAATCGATCCTTCATCATTTGATTGATCGTTTTGGTAGCGTTTGTTCTAATTAATGGCATATATCCATCCACTCAATTCCTCTTGTTTATTACCATACACTGAAGAGGTGTTTTGTGAACGTTTGTTTGTGTGCATGAGGACGATCATTGAAACAATGAATGAACAGCACCAAACTTAAATTCTATAAATTTTGGCTTATCACACTAAAAAACGTGTTTTGAAATAAATCAGTTTCGGTCGCTTTATCCAATTGTTCATCATTTCTTCAACAAGTATTAATCAGATTATTATTGAAATAAAATATCCAATTGTCTGGAATAAAATATACAATTCGTGAAAGACGGCAGGCATGACATAATAAAGAGTTGCTTATTGTAGTCAAACTGATTCAGCATAAGAATTTTGATGACAAATCGTCATCATTCATTCATATTCAATTCACTATTTCTGTTTCTTTCATGAAACTACGTCCCTTCGTTCTGTACCAATAATAATAATAAATAATAATAATAAAAATATACAAGTGAAGACTTTTAGTTTAAAAACATAAATATATACTCGATTTCATTTCTTGCGAATGGCATATTCATTATTATACAACAATTATTTCTTTTATTTGTTTTTATTCTTATTACTATATCACCTCATTTCCTTTCACTTATGGCCATATTTGTGGAACAGGTCTACACCGAATATGTTAGCATAAGTAATATAACGTGTGATTGTAGAATTGAATCTTTATCCAACTCTTGAATTCAATTCCCAGCCGATTTGCAGCGTTCTTTTTCGAAATCAATTACCCTAATCCTTCCTGATTTTCGAATATTCCATCAAGCTTAAAAGCCATTTATCCAAATTTGCAATCGGCTAGCAAGAACGCACCATAATAAGTCATAATTATGAATAGATAACCATAAATGTGAATGATATTAGTACACCACTCGGTTTCGAGCAAAACTTTCTTCCGAAAGTTTTGCTCGAAACCGAATGGTATAGCAATATCACTGATGTTGCCAGGCTATGATTTGGCTTATGTCTAATCATCTGTTATTATTCGTTTACATTAATATGAATTTCTCTATAATAATTATTCTGTTGTTCGGTTATCATCAATTACCTATAGCATTTGCTCGTTTAAGCGATATCATTTATAAAGTATATGACAATATCATAAAATAAACGATTATTTGTTATCAACAAAAGTAAATAAAACAAATAACGCACTTCAAAGCGCTTATATAGGCGTATCGTCGTTGAACACTAGCCAGTTCCCTTTCAACATGTCATCCTTCAAATGATTCAACGTGGAAGAAGAAATTTCTGGATTTGGTTTTTTTTCAAATCGTAGTAATACTTTCTGTTTATTGAGACTGTTATTGAATCAATTTGAAAAGTATACCGCTTACCGCAATGTGTTAAGAAAACATGTAAAACTAGTGACAACGTTTTGGTAATATTACGAGAAAATTTTAATAACATCAAGAGTCTGTGTTTATATGAATGATTGATTCCGTAATTTTGAAGTGTTCAAGCAGAATCTGAGGACGTCCAGAGCGAATATAGCGCGTAAAATTCTGTTCCTAGCTTCTTCGCAAACTAAGTTATTTTTTGCTTTCCCAAACACGAGACTAAATTTGAAATGAAGATCAGAGTAGTTAATAGGACATCAAGAATGAATTTAGCAATGTTTGTTTTAAGACAGAAATGTCTATTGATTAATAACTGAATCATACTTCGTAACGCATGATAAGAATGTTTGCCAATGATTTTCAGTGCATAATCATTTCACATTTTATCATATTTATCGAATTCTTCTTCTCACTTCATAACAACAAATCGTTTCATAATACACTTTATTGCATACGATTCGATTACGTTTTATTTAGCGCGTTCGCTTCTTCGTTTATCCGTCCTTCGTTTCTCACTTGTTACAAAAGCAGTCATCTTTCAATTACAATTAATGACTGCTGCGAGCACTCCTCTCACCTTACCTCATCTCACGAACTTTGAAACGAAATAAACCTTCGCCGCCAAATTATTCTAGCAATTAGAATTGAGTGACGACCGAATTCCATCAGCTCAGTCTACTGCAGCTGAACTAATATCCTCAGTTTTGCAATGAAGTAATGTACTTTTCACAACGTAGTGGTTGAGTAGGTGATGTTCATGAAAAATCACCAAGACGATTTATGAAAGAAGCGAGAGGTAGATATGTTAACATGCAGTGTTTGACCGAGGAGTGTTGAGTGGTTTATTGATAAATAATTCAAATAGAATACATTTCGGTGGCAACTTCAGAGTTTTAGTACCGAGGTGTATAGATAACGTTACTTAAATGAATATAGATAGGGACGTTATGATAAACTTTACAAAAATGCTGTGAGACTGATAAAAAAACACTTGAGATAATCGCCTCAAGAGGAGAGCGTTCGCATGCAGTATCGCGCATAGGCTTGAAAAGCAGAATACTTGCAAGTACTCATTATTGAAATTCAGAGACGGAGATTAAAGTTGACTGATCCATTAACTGGTTAAGATGGGCCAAAAACAATCCTATAACATCAGCGAAGATCAACAAGCTGCAGCGGCACTTGAGAAAGAGGGCTGTATAGCGACCAATGCGGACTGGAATTGCAAAGCTGAGAGGATGACACATATTTCATCGAAAACTGATGACTCTTGTACAGCAACAACACCAGTTCAGGTATCATTCTCTTTCACAATTTAATTCCACTGAAACGTCGATTCATAGCTATGACTGATACTCAGAGCTGCAAACAAACAACCTGAGCAGATATGATATACGCGCATATATTCCTATTCCGACTTTTTCATGGACCACAAATTGCAGCGATCACTCGAATTTTCTCTTCTCCTCTCAGGCAATGAGGAATAACAGATGATAATAGCAGATTTAGAGCACTTGAAGATGACCATCCGGATAGAAAATTCTTTCAAAACACCTTCACAGAAGACTGTAAGCGGAATTTGCGGGTATGAAGCGATTCGGAGATTTGTCATTGTCATCAGTTAAGAACTGTGAACGCGAGCGCAAAATTTCAAATATATTCGAAAATAAAATTAATAGGAGTAGCAAATGCTTTTTCGAAATGAAAACGTATTTTGTGCTGCTGTTAGAAGAAGGAAGATTAAACTGATGGTCAGCAATAAAAAATAAAAAATCAGCAAACAATGAGTGACAAATTACTTTTTGCAGCAGTTGGACATAACAAAACAACCGGACGATATACCAATCGAGCATTCACAAGATGAAAAATCGCACGAAGAGGAATAATGAGAAATAATTACGATGATCACTCCATATAAAAACTAATTGTTCTCGTCACATTTTGCAGAACACGTTTATTTATTCTTTTTGTTCATTACATGTTTTGTCGTTCGATTGCCTTTAAAACGTACTTGTGTTACAAATAGTACGCATTTTATGAATCACGAAGATTAATCTCATTACTGAATGCTCCCTTCACTTCTCAATTCAATCAACTGAATTCAATACGGCTTTTTATGTTCACAATTATTCACCTTATTCATGAGCTGAGGTATGTTTTCTTTCATCAAATTCTCTCTCAAAAAAAGCCCTCTCAGAGAATTTCATCATTTACTCGTACAGATTCATAACAATTTCCTATTAAATTGTTATATTAGTCTATCGTTTTCGTAATAAATCATGAGAACGGAAATGATTTTGTTGCTTACAGCTAAACAGTTTGCAAAATCAAAGATGGAAACACCTTTGCTCTACCGTATGATAATGACTTCGTACATACGCATTCTTTCGTAGTACCGATAGCAATCCACTTGCAGAGTGCAAAAGAATATTTCATTAAATGGTGAAGTTTGTGAATTTGACTTAATAACAACTTACAATTGTGCAATTGACTGAACTCGTAAGCACCCATTCCATTGACCTTCTGCAGCCACTAGTTAAAAGTGTGGTCAAATCACTCCTTTCTCATTTCAGATGCAGTAATATTAACCAACCGCTAATACAACATTGTGATAAATCGAAGAAGTTTATTCTTTTCAGTCGAAACCACCCTACTAGATGCCATTTTTACCCACCTTAAGAATACTTATTAGAATTTACTCATGAACACCTTATTAAAACAAGCGACCGTTTAAAAAATACAAAAGTTGACCGGCTCAACGGTACAAAGACCATTCGCATTCGATCGAATGACGTACGACATTTGAAGATGAAAATGAAATTCAAGCGTTTATTGTTTCTTTTGACGAAAGAATACTCATTCAACGATTATAATCATAATAAAAACGGCTATAATACCGTTTTGAGAAGTTAAGAATAATACTTAATAAGTGAATAAAGATTAAAAAGTAATAAATTAATTTCACAGATGATATGTCAAAAGAATCATTACAAATCTGTGGATAGCATTTATTTCGTTCACAAATTGCAAAAATAACCTACAAATATATATATTTAAGTGTGTTATCAATGAAGCGCAAACCGCTTTGATTTGTGCATCAATCAAAAATACACTACAAAATTACAGCAAAAGTGTAATTAAATATTTTGCGCAACAATGCACACAACAAAAATACGCAAATATCGCATTCCGTCGTTGACACTAACAACTGACACCATTCAATGAGTGTGTTGTGTTGCCTATACTAATGATGAGCAAAACGAAAATACCCAAGTAATAGTAACACATTCACGTTTGCATACTATCGATAATGAAGAGTGCAAATAGATTGATCCGCAATAACAGCATTCAATAAATGACCAAGCAATAACTCTAACAATAATCACACAACAATCACAGCTCTGAAAAGATGAAAAGAAATGCGATTTCAAAAAAATGAATGGACGCAAAAACAAGCGAAACGGACAAACACAGCCAATGAAATGAATTGAAATTAATAGTTTGGTGTACCCATTATATATGCATGTGACTGGAAATGTTAAAAGTGATTAATCATTAAGGCTAAGATATTCAAATTGCTTTGACATTTAATATTTTGAAGTGAATTGAATTCTGATAGATGAAAATTTCGTTTAAAAGCAAAAAAAGCATCTAGCTTTGAATGTATTATCAAAAAAGCTTCGTATATTAAAACACCAACTGAATGTATTTGTTCTAGATAGACGTATGATGTGTTGTTGTTGACGATGTCTTGTTACAATTGATTGATGATCATTGAACGAATATAAAAACACAAATATCTACTCGTCGATAATTTGTTCGACGATACCAGCTGCAATTGTTTGACCGTTTGAACGCAGCGTGATACGACCCAGTGCTTTGCATTGTGCGTAACACTCGACGCCGATTGCATGATCCGTTTGAATTTCCACCAATCCACTCATATTCCGCGCCAAACATCTACAATTCGGTCGGTTCATTGCTGATGTAGGCTTCAATGTTTCGGTTGGTTTGCTTTCACTATTTCGCAAATACAACTGAATTGGTTTTCACAAACACTGACAGAGACAGATAAATATGATGAACCTCGGTTTCTGCTTCAACACTTGACCGTTTGCTTTATTAAGCGCCGAACGCAAACGAACCACAGTGCACGGTTCACATAACGCATGAGCAAACAGCTCAGCTTTTGTACCCCTCATTATCGGTATGACTATATTGAAGACCACTATACGCGCCAACAACCGTTTCGCTGGTACCAAACATTCTTTTCCACCACGACACAAAATTTGACCACAACTAATCGAATCGGGTTCGAACGTGTTCACTGCTTGAAGCGTTAATAAAGCGTGATCGCCGGCAAAACACACCGATTCATCGCTTTTTGTATCCTCCATGCTAACGGCTGTATGCAAAAAATAGCTGGTTTTGCATGAATAAATCAATGAACAAAATCTTGAATTCATTATCTTTACAGTTTTACTTAAGCAAAACGAAAATTTCATCCACAGTTCATGATATGTATAATTGTGGATGAATGATGTTTTCGTTCGAAGAGAAAATAGAAGAAATTCATGAATAAATAAATACAGTTGGACAAAGAATATTTGGTTGGAATATTTGATAATTTATGGATAAGTCAATGAAATGAAAGCTAAAAAGCAACCTTTGACAACAGCTGCATCAGCATTTGGCATAATGAAAAGCCTTTCGCCAGGTTCTGTATAACCAGCCTCTAATTTCACACTAACAGTGATTGAGTTTGACGTTGCCTTTATAACATTGTTTATAACAGCTCGTAGAGGGCATTCTTCGGCACGTTTCGGTATAGATATTTCATCTAGATTTCACTCTTCGTCATTGATAACTTGTTCAAAGAAACGAATTCTTTTTGTTCAATAGAACGTAGAGGAGAGATGAATAAAACGAACCTATGAACTGAAGAAGTGTTGGACCATTATACCACGCCTTGAGAGGGTGATCGTCGGGTGGTGGTTCAGTTAGATTGATACCGTTTAAGCCCGAAACGGGTACGAAACGTACAGATGGGAAGGCGGCTTGTTTGCGCAAAAAACTTTGTAACACAGCACAAACCTCACCGTAACGTGCCTCTGACCATTCCACAGTATCCATTTTATTGACCGCTACCGACAGTTCAGTTATCCCTTCAAAAGGCACCACTCAAAAGCAATCAAATTTATGACTGACCTCAGTCATCGATTTCAAACATCAATCAACTCTCTCTCGGTAAAATATAATGACATTCGGACATATCGACTGAAAATACCATTGATCCAGCGCCTCATCTGACATTTAAAATCGTCAACAAAACATGAATTATTCCACTTGTATTTGAATCACTATTTCAAAAACAAGAGAAATGAAAACCTAATGAACGAAGTAGCATTGCATGTTCACGTGTTTGTCCACCGAGATCGAAACCGGTCTCAAATTCACCTGTGGTGGCGTTCACAACCAACAGTCCTGCATCTGCCTGCGAAGCTCCTATAAAATGACGGCGGCAATAACTTCTGACGAAATAGATAAAGAGACGGCAAATATAAACTTAATACTCGGTAAACCAACTACCACATACCAGTGATCATATTCGGGATGAAATCTTTATGTCCTGGTGCATCCAGCAAAACGATTCTTCGATGACCAGTTTCGAACGCAGTTCTAGCGATATCCATTGTAACACCTCGTTCTCTTTCTTCCTGCAAAAACAATGCAATACATCGTGAACAAATTCATTGCAATTGGTTTGTTGAATGACATAATCCTACATCGAAATGTACAACTTCAATTATATTTGTCATTCTCTTACATGATCAGAACGTCACAGAGAAGCGTCCTTAAAAGAACTGCAACTACCTGTGTATCATCCAAAACCCACGCAAATGCAAACGATGCTTTTCCGGTTCGTGCAGACTCTTTCTTATACTTATGCATGGTGCGATCGTCCACACGACCCATCTGTAATCACCAACGTTATATACTTTTCCATATTAAAGCTCATCACAAATTCAATGAAAATAAACGCTAAAACTATTAAAGTTTAACATTTCTATTCGTACGAAACTAGATTGAACGTTTGAGCAGCAACATCCAAAAGATCACCAGATAAAGAAGATGTCCCATTAGTGTACTTTTACCAGCATCGACATGTCCAACAATGACCAAATTAATCAACGGTTTCATATCTTTGGTTCGTTGTCTTTTTCTGAACAAACAAATGAATGAACATTCAAAACGCACCCAAACACTTAATGGCAATAACATAGGTTCATGCACCGTTTGTGAACATAATATTACAAACAATAAAGCATGCACGAAAAATATGAAAATTACAAACTTCGGCGTTGTGGTTGGTGCTGCTTGTGCAGCAGCAAGTGCAGTTAGTCGTCTATAACTAGCGTTCGGAGTGAGTGTTGCAGAAGTTCGTAAGGCATCAGCTGGTGACGACGACGATGAGCTAGTGGACGTGATGCCTTTCTCTGAGATGCGTAGATTTTCGACGTCACGAATACGCAAACGAGGCATATCCTCCACGTTGCTGATAGCATTACTATCACCCGTATTCACAGCAGTTGTTGTGGTTGAATTCTTTTGCTAAAAAATAAATACTGCTTATAAGTTGTCTTAATTGGCTAATTACTAAGAACGAAATTTATTGAAAATTACCAATGGCGCATCGTTTACTGATTGTCGACTTGTTGTTGTAATTTGATGATTATTGGTTGAAGCAAGTGGAGTGGCATTAATGGTATCAGTGAGATGAGTTACACTGAATGTAACTGATGACTGACTGGGTGGCTGCGACGCTGCTTGGTGGACGCGATTTGATCTCATTGAGTCTTTAAATATGAGATACATTCTCGAAGCTTTCATTCAAAAACTTTTCTTCACTTCAGTGATTCTCAACATTCCCTCCCCCGCCGCACATTTTAAGATGTCCTCGCAGCCTCTACAACAATAGTCAAATTGTCCTCGTACTCCTCACAACACCCACTCTGTATCTCTCATCCACTAGAGTGAGCGTCTGTAGAACAGATAAGTGACTACCATTAGAGCACGTTCTAGGCTTTCAAGAATATATACGTTAAAGTTCATCCTGATTTATTTTATACATTTGTATGCGCTGAAATCCTCTCTCACCTACTTTAATGTGTAAAAACTAAAACCTTGTTTCGCATTACCTGGAATAAGATCTGGCATCCATTGGTGATGCGAGCACCCTTAAGCCTGCTTTAAACAAATAAATGAATGCTCTCACTAGATAAACAACCACTCGAATACAATGTTCACTCAAAAATCGTACCGCTACTATCACCGATCTGCTTCTTTTCAACTTCAACCTCGAACTGTGTATTATCGTCATCATCACAAATTACATCGTTTGATAATTCTTCTTCAATGATGAAATCGGAAACTTTTGTGCTGTTATCCATTTGCGCATTTGTTGACGTTATTCTGGGTCGATGATACATGAATTTTGCTGAAGAGAAAGAAAATGGATGCACAAATGAAATGCACACATTCAGTTATACCGATTGATTACAACAAAGCATGAAGATAAAATAATACTTCGTGATTACTATAAACATTGAAATTATCACCGAAAAAAGAAAGAAGTATTTGGCATTCTAAAGCGGTAAACACACCTGTACCCGGGGACATTGGTATGTCGTCATCCGTCGAAATGCTGTAACGATGAAATTCCTCGTCATCTTCATCGTCCCTTTCTTAAAAATTCGCAAGTCCATAATAAACGCATATTCATTGAAATATATTACAATATATAATCAACCCACTTTCACAACACCATGCAACCATTTAAGTAGCTTCTCAAAGAAAGAATAGTAACCAACCGTCATCATAATTCATATTACGAAAATTCCGATGTCTTGACATTTTCCCTTGAATATCACTCACCCATGAAACATGTACAGCAACTGAGTTAACCTGAAACACAAATTCTGATCGTTTAATCACGCTCCATTTTCGCATAAACCACGTAATAAGCCTTTCGTAGAGCACGATAACGAATCCGAACGGTAATCTTCAACCGAAACCAGAAAGCAGCAACAAAAATGGTCAAATACACGTACAATTGAACTGCTTTCATAAAATTCTGTACAGAAGTTAGTTCGCTGGATGAATTAAATGGGGAACAAAACCATTTTTAACGTAGTCATTAGAGCAAAATTTCACTTTGGATTCTGAAGAAGTATTAGAGAACATTGGTCAATAAATAAATGTATGCGTGATGCGATCAAGTACACTCTCTGTTGCTCACAACAAAACGAATGTCACTAAAACAACCACCATCCTGGGCATGTGCCGATAAATTTTATTTGTTGCTATTCACCATTCATTCAAACTTCACCTCAAATCAACGTCGCAATCAAATGAACTAAAATCGAATGAGTATGCAACACATATTAATAACATCTACAATATACGAAATATTTTCAGCATAACGACAAAATTCTATTAAACATTTAAAACGCAAATTTCAATGACAGTTATTATCATATACATTGAATATTATGATACTTCGTCGATATTCATCATGCTTAGTCTTTCACCATCAAAATACAACAAACGACTATAAGCTAATGAAAATATTACAAGAAAACATTGATGGAACAGGTGAAACATTCACAGAATACATTTACTTATTTACTACTCACATAGAAGCAACCAAAAGTGATTCGTGTCATACTGACGGCCAATTATTTATAGTGACAATTAAAATACGAAAAAAATAACGATAGGAAATGGTAAATGAAAACAATAGACATAGATGAGACTTTAAACGAGAGTGCCGGCTGTGGAGGGAGGTGACTGTCGTTGTTTTGGCTTGTGAGGAATTGCAGCTTTCATGCTATCGTCGAGCAGCAGATGATTGTGTTCATAACCATGTGAAAAGAACGATGATACAGACATATGTCTTTGATGATTGCAAGCTTGATCGTTGAGAGTTTCCTTCTTCTGAAATTTCATCTCACCTTAAATATACACAACAAGTGTATTTGTTTCCTTTGAGTGAAACATATAACATTATGATGGCATAGAAATGAAGAAATAAGCTCTCAACCGAGATCGAACTCGATTCGGCCATATCGCCACGATCCAAATTGATTCGTAACGAATGCACCGAACTTTTTTCAGATAATGTGACCAGATCTGCCGAACCATTGAATGCACCCGTGCTTGTTGAAGACGGTATTGAATAATCCGAATAAGGGAATGACGAGGTTATCTTCAAATTATTCTATTGTTTCAACGGACGTTATTCTATTATAAGTCCATTTCCACACTTCGGATTTCTCGTCGTGAACTACTCTTCTTTCGATCGATTCGATCGCTCTCAAACTTTATCAGAGTGATTTTTAAAGCATGCTGATTGTTTGTTTTGGAATCAGCATGCTTTACAGTTCGACAATGACCGGATGAGTATCAAAAGCCAGATGACCACACATTTATTTATTTATTTAACGCTAATTCAACCTCTAGCTGAACTTATAATATGTTAGTTAAAAACTTATAAATCCCTATCAAATTATTCTTACGATTCTGTATCTGAAGCTGATTTGTTTTTCTTGCGAAAGCTTCAAAAAAGTTATTCTAAAATGATACTGTTTTTGCATCAAAAGCCGGATGAAGTCGTTGACGCCATACAACCGACTCACACGAAGGAGAGTTGCACACTGCTGACGCTGTATACGCCAATACAGCACTCAGCGCTACATCATGCGTTACACTGCCACCTTCCTGAATGCTGCTGCTTCATCAACTGTTTAATGCAAACACAACAACCAAAACGAACCCAAAATAAACCTACTTATCATTTCATTCATTCGATGTGTGGCTAATATTTTCATCAAAACAAACCTATTTCACCACTGCAAACAACAATATTGAAAATAGAACGAATACATTTCAAAACGTGAATTCAGATAACACCAACGCAAATATTAGCAGCTGGAACCCATCGCAGATAGCAATCAGTCCAGAATTCAACTTCCAACGGACTCGCCGGTGGTTTTATCACATCACGTGTATTCGCTTCTGCAAATTAATCTCCTATTCTAAAATTTTTGTAAAATCAGTGAACATCAATAATAATACTAATAAATGATGAATAAAAACAAAACTGGAAAGAGAAGCAAAAATAAGAGTGCATTACGAACTAACCACAACCAAAAAGGATATTCGTCGAATACAAAGCATTCGTGAACATAATGCAATATTTCGATGAGTAATACTGAGACAACGGAAATGTTGGTGCAGTCTTCTTGAGTAATAGTCGATCCCGTATTGAATTACATGTTAATCCGCTAGAATAAATAAGTATGATAATAATGATAATGATAACAATGAAAAGAAGATGAACAATCTTGACTGCGATCAGTAAACGAAAATAACAAAAATGTGCGATGAAGTATAAACAGAGACAGACTCACGGTGCCAGACCAGTAATGGAAAGATCCCACAATGCAATCAGCATATACTGAGAATATTCGAAAGAAACAGGAAATAAGCGAAGCAACTGTGACAATGCATCCAGAAATAAAAGGAACGTTGCTGTGGACGATCGATTCTGCTGAAAACACATTACTCTGAACATTCTGTTGAGAGGAAGGAAGGAAGGAAGGAAGGAATGAGATAGCAACCTGCAGATGAGATGTGAAAGGGCAGTTGAACATATTGCTACCGAACGGATATCCGAGTGCAATCCACTCCTTCTCGATCAACCGATTCAATCCAGCAATGGTGCGGTAATAACTGTCCGCACAGATCTGCGCTAAACAACACACCACCACCGACGCATTCAAACCATCTTCATCTATACTCAACAATTTTCATTAAACAACTATAACACTACCTTAGAATAATAACAAAACAATTTTCTAACCGGTAATAACCACGGAACGTTGATTATCGACAACTAAATTCACCACTTTGCGAGCCTCAAGTAGACACTTAAAGACGAGTGCACACCAGCCAGTGTTATCCACTAGCGAATACCAATCCTTTTCGCGTTCTTTGAATTGTGCCATTGAATCTGAAGTGACCAAGCAACAAATCACTTAACAATCATTGGTAATAATAAAATGCCAACCAATAGCGCATAATTCACGAAGTCGATCAAACGAAGTGGCGATTTTTGATGATGATATATCGACATCAATTTTACTGACAAGTCTGTTTTTTGGATGTGATCTACAAATTGCGTGTTCGACAATATTCCATAATTCTGAAGAACGCATCTCATTTGAGCATTTCGATGAACGCAAAATAGCACTTCCATTCGTATATGACCAACACCACACTGGAAATCGACCGTTATTCCAATTCGGTATCAACGATTCGTGAATACGTGCACCATATAAAGTATTCGGCACAACCACACAAAATGGATAACTGAAACTGCATCGATTCACTGCTATTGCCTTACACATCATACACACGTGCGTTCAAATCAGTATAATCAGCACCTTGGTACCTCATTTACACTCTGTTCATCAAAGCAAACAAAGCTCCAATGGGATAGAGCCATCTTCCAACAACGTTCCATTTCGTTTTGCCAGTCAACGCGATTATTGAACGCTATCTTATAATCATCTAAACCGAAAACATTACTCACATGACTGCTGCTCGGTGATATTTCTTTATTCAATTAGAAAAAGAAAAAAACTTTGTTGAGAAACAAAATCAGAGAAACAATGAAAAAAGAAGGTGACGTACTCTGTTGGGAGTTGGGATGGACAGCTCCACACGAAAGTTGAAAGAAATTGGTGAGTGATGCCGGTCTTGAGAAATGAAAAATATTGTTCGCTAAATTCACCGCGAATTGACTTCGTTGTAAATCAAATGTCCAAACTCGAAAATCCTGCGGTGATGCAATAACTGATTTTTTTATTGTTGCTGTTCTACACTTATGAATGTTTTTCAGAGTTAAGAAAACAAACAAAACATCCACAAAATCTTCACGAAAAAAAACGCACAAGTAAAAATGAAAATGAATGAAGGATCGTACGAAACAAACTTTTGTGCATATTCTGATACAAGAAATAATATCGAGTTGTGATGCAGGTGATGTCATTTTACGAAATTTTGGTAATACTCGACTAACTGAAACAAATACGTTCATCAACACCACCGAATGAAGTGACAACGAATCAAGTGACTACCTATTGGGTATGATGCGTAGAGAAGTGTCTCGATGGAACACGACGGGAACTGATATTCATCATCGAATATCAAACTTCGACTGCAACACGGATCACGGCGCTGCAATAAGCGTTAGTGTGCGAACCGTTAGGTGCTTGCTTGGCTGTGCGATGATCAAGTAACATCAACATAAATCAATAATAAGAATACTTCTGACGGCTCACCTGCCTCGTGAGTGGCACGAAACATATTCGAAAATTGGTACAGTATAACTTGCCGAAAAGATTTTCTCGAAACGGTGGATAGAGTAGGACGTGATCGCATTGCGAAGAAACAATCTCACCTAGGAATCAAGTATTGTAGCTCTAAATTTTGTGATTTCGTCATTGAAAATGTCTTTGAGTGAGAAGCGAAATTGATTCCTATTTCGGTTTCAACATTTGCTTGTCAGTATGAAAGTTGAAGAAATGATTTGCTGCTTTTAAAAAAGAAAGCAAAAATTGCACAATTAAAGTTCAGTAGAGAAAAACGAAAGTACAGAAAGTTGCGATAATAATGAAGTAATGCTTGAACGAAGAAGAAAACAAATTTGATGAATAAAGCATAAACTTTACCATTAAGTAGAGGAAAGTCAGGAACGTCATCATTCTGCTTCAGCTGAAACAATAGCGATTTCAAGAGAGTAAGGTTGAGTTAAAGAACTGCTGCATAGTGGATGAGAAAATGAAAGGTGATGCGCAATGGGTAATGCTTAATGCAGCTTGCTCTACCCAAAAATGAGAATGCAATAAGCAATAAATGAATACCGCGTTGTGCTCATCATGTTCAAACGCAGCCACATACGAACGAAAGCTATCACGTTGATCCATTGCAGGATGCGGAATCATCACTGTTGTATTTGTTCTGATAAATCAATTACACTTCTGCAAACCAAAATGAACGCTTAGATGATAAATTATTACTGTTCATTCCAACACCACAATATATCTATACCAAAAAGATGTGCATATAAACTCCGCACTATAATTGTGCAATCGACAGTAAGTTATCTAACAAAACGAATATTGCAATTAAAAAGCGTTCGAAGATAATAACCCAGAACGGGATTCACGTTACAAACGACGCTTTTCCTCATATAGTGGTAAACTCAATGAGAAAACAATAAATAAAACGGTTTTATGCAAGGGTCATTTTATATAGCATGTACAATAATATTAAAATAACAACGATCAGAGCATCGAAAATTACAATTTCAAAATAAGCAAAACAATCAAACGAATATATATATATATATATATATATATATATATATATATATATATATATA